CGCCGCCCCCCCCCGCCAGCCCCCCCCAGCCGGCACCACCTCGCGGGCTCTGGAAGGGCCTGCTTCTGCAGGAGGCCAGGAACCGGCTGCCAGCCACAAGCCCATCGCCATGTGCACAGGCGCGAGCAGGGCACACGTAGGGTGGAGTGCTGCAGACGCGTGAGGGACAGGGCCTGCCAGCTCAGACCATAAACTCGCTGTTCCCGAAGAGCGCGAGCGGCTGCGTGGAGCTGCAGTCTGGGTCTACGGTTTTCCTGCGGCCAGACAGGACTGTCCCCTCGGGGGTCTCTTTGGTTTTCTGAGGTGAGTTTTTCACATTCTTTAATTTTTGTTTGCCCTTTTCGGGGTTGAAGGTCCCTCTGCTGATGAACTGAGGCCTGTCTTCCAGGGCTCTGGTCTGGCCTGGCAGGCCTTCCGTTCCTGGGGCCTCGGCAGCTGAGGCAGCTCGGTAGAAGGGAGATTTGGAATAAATCTGAAATCGCTTTCTGGTCCCGTGAGGCAACGCGGTGTTGGACAGACGCAAGGAAGAGACGGGCGGGTCCCCCGAATCCAGAGAGTCTGGCTGCTTTCTTAGCTGCTTTCGCGACTTACTCCACGGTTCAGACTTGCCAGCTGCCTTCAGAGAGCTGAGGGCTGAGCTTCTCTCTGGTGCAGGAGGAAGACCCAGGCTGTAAACAACAGTTTCCCTACGGCAAATCCCTGTGCAACACAGAGGTCTCTGTTCCCTCTGGAATCGGGGTGCGTGCGCTAGGGACGCGGGGGACCCGGGCTGACCTCCCATGCGGTCAGAGCTTGAGGAGAACTCACTGTCCATTTCCACATACCTCAGAGTCAACCCCAAGGGCGCCCGGGTTTGACCCTGGCTCCAGGAGGCCTGGGACAGCCACTGTCATTTATAAACTGCCAGGACATGCAGCAGGCTCTGTGCCCTCCTGAGATGGGTCACTCGGTAACTCAGTCCCGCCTCATGTGGGACACGATGCCCGCCAGCCCTCAGAGAATGGCCGCCAGTCAGCGAGGTGGCGTGGACCGTGACTGCTGGCTTTTCTCTCTGACAAACACAGGGAGAACGTCAAATTGCAAGAGAAACCGCATCACACCGAAGGCGGGTCTGATGGACAGTTGGTGTGTTCATCTCCAAACAGACGGGCGGCTCCTAGGACTAGGACTGCCACCTCCCATGTAAGGGCAGTGCGCTCCTGGAAGGGGCTTTGTAGTGGCGGGGGAGTCCCGAGGCTTCCTCTGCAAAGCAAACCTGGGGCCGTGGGCCGTGGCGCTGGCGTGCTCACTTACCTGATCTCTCAGAGACGGCGCCCTCGCACTGCAGACTCAGGTTTTCTGAGCTGTCAGCAGTCCCGATGGAGGCCTCCGACTCCAGGGTCTCGTCGTCAGAGGCACGGGGTTCCAGCACGAGCATCTCAAACGTGAGCTCCTCCCTGAGAGGGACAGGCAAGAAGCATCAGCGACTGAGAGGGAGTGGAGGGAAAGACCTGGGGAAGTCAGGAAGCTAAGTCCCGTTTCTTTTTCCTTTAAAGGACTATCTTATTTAACTTTATTTATTTACTTACGTATTTATTTTAATTTTGACCAGAGAGAGAGAGAGAGAGAAAGGGGAAGTGAGAAAGCAAGCCGCCAGGTCCGAGACTTGAACTGCGGTTGGCCATGTGGGAGTCCAGCGCCCTTAACCACCCTCACACCTGCCGGCCCCTTACATTTCTTTTTTTTTGAGAGATTTTTTGCTGCAGGACACGTGCTCACTGGAGAGAGAGACAAAGAGACAGAAAGCGAGAAACTGCGTCCCAGCAGGGCCGGCCACACTGTGATCCCTTCTCCATTCTCCTCTTGGAATCTTGGACACCCACGTACATGCGCCCGGTGTGAGTTTTAAGCCACTAGCTCTGGGACTTGAACTGCGGTCAGCTACGTGACAGTCTGGCAATGCAACCATTACGCCATCTGCTGGCTTATCTAAAGTCTCATTTCTTACTGTCCCCCTCAGGATGGTGACAAGGGTCTGTGCAGGGCTGAGATACGTGCACTGCAGGACAAAACGACAGACCGCAGACCTAGGATCAACAACGGCTGAGGGACGGGTGAAGAAGGGCCCGCGGCTGTGCACTCTCTGCGGCCAAAACCGGGAGATCGCGCTCTAACTCGTGATGTGCGGCGAAAGCACTTCCCCTTCTCTGGACCTCAGGGTCCTCACCCACCGGACACAGAGGTGAAAGCCGCTGCTCGCTAAGATCCTTCCGGCTCCTAAACCATTCTCCATGAAGCACCACCTGCTGGACACAGCCGGCACCCTCCACTCCGCCCCAGGAACTCTAGAGGCAGAAAGCGCTGATCCTCCTGCCCTGTGAGCTTCAGCCACGCTCAAGGCAATGTCTGCTCCTCCTCCTCACAGACCCACCCTGCCCAGTCACGCCCTCAACCCCTGAGGTCTGTCACTTGCCTCCAAACCTTGCTTCTCACTGCCGCTGGACATCGCCTGCCCTGACTCAGTGAGCAGCTCTGGGCACTCACCGTGGCCCCTCACCCAAAGCTCCTGACGCCGCCAGCAGCCTCTCATGACCTCTCCGCCACCTTACATAAGCGACTTCTCCAACAGCAGGCCCTGGGGTTTGCCACGCCCTGGAAACACGCCAGCTCTGCAGCCGCACTCCACTCTGCACACCTTCTCCTGACGCTTCTAATTCTCACAGCCCTTGTGGTCCATCCCCTCCCACCAGAGTCCTCCTGATTTCAACTTCCACCTCCCTAGCTTTGGGCCCATGGACGGGCTTCTAAGGAAGTCTCACCAATTAACTGCTGCAGCCCTAACTGTCATAAGCCACGTGTGTTCACTTCTCTGCAACTTTGCTCACACTTCCTTTTTCTGAAAAAACAAAAACAAAAACCCTTCCACTTTCTGGCAAACTCCGATTCATCCTTCGGTATCTCCCATACATGTCCATCAACGTGGAATTAGGTCCTGTTTTCTTCCAGTGAGCAACCCCAGCTCAGTGACCCCCACCTTCGCTTCATCAACGTTTCCACGGCCAAGCCCAGTGGCTTTTCTTTTATTTAATTGCTGGAAGGAATGTGCACTTACCAGGGAGAAACAGAGAGACAAAGAGAGGAAGACGGCAAGGGAGAAAGCACTCCCAAGGGGACACGGTCACACTGCAGTCCTTTCCCCTCACTTCCCATGCTGTTGGGGTTTGGGGCAGGCACACATGTTTTTAAGCCCCCAGATTCCAGGATTCAAGCTGCGGTTGGCCATGTGGGACCCTGCTCCTTTAACCTCTAGGCCAATCAGAGCTAGGCCAATTTTTTTTTTTTGAGAGGTTTTTGCTATAGCGCGTGTGCGCTCGCTGGACAGAGACAGAAAGAGAGGTAGAAAGTGAGAAATCACTCCCCAGGGGGGATGGCCACGCCACAATCCCTTCTCCTCCATTCTCCTCTCAGGATCTTGGGCACGCACACACACGCGCCGGTGTGAGTTTTAAACCACTGGGTCCGGCACTCGAACCGTAGTCGACTACGTGGGAGTCCAGCGACATAGCCATTACACTAACTGCTGGTCCCCAAGGAATTCTTTTTTTTTTTTTTTTAAATTTTTTTTGAAAGTTTTGTTTTGTTTTTTCTATAGGGTGCATGTGCTCACCAGAGAACAAGAGAGGAAGAGAAAAAGTGAGCTATCACCCCGGGGGGATGGCCATGCTGTAACCCTCTCTCTCTCATTCTCCTCTTGGAATTCTGGGCACGCGCGCACATGCCTGGAGTGATTTTCGAGTCACTGGGTCCAGGACTTGAACTCCAGCATCCGCCATGTGCATCCAGTGCCTTAACCTCCATGCCACCTGCTCTCCAGAGCCTGGAACCAATCTGTGGGGGAGGCTGGCCCTGACCTGTCGGGACTGCAGCCGGCCTGACTCTCCCAGTCAGCCTGTCCAGGACCGTAGCCTAGGGGATGGCCTACACACCCTGCCCTCCCTCAGGTGGGAAGGACAGGAGCAGGCAGGGGAGGAAGTGAGCGCAGACGCCCCTGGGACACACACTTCTCTTTCTGCAGGTTCTCGATCTGCTCGGTCAGCACCCGCTCCTCCTGCTGCATGGCCGCTTGCTGCTGCTCTGTGAGCTCAGGCTCCGCGGCTGCCTCGCGGGTCAGCGTCTCCTCCGGGACGTCGGACATCGAGGGCAATCGGACCACAACGGGTGAGGACGGACTTGGGAAGTTTCCTCGACGAATACGCCCCTTGCCCTGCAGAGGAAAGTGCAGGTGAGACAGTGAGGGCGCTGGCTCCACGCCGCCCATCCAGGACAGGGAGGGGCAGAGCGAGACAGACACGCCCCGCAAGGCCCAGCGGCACCCATCCGACATGCTCAGGCTAGAATACTGTTGCGAGAGTGCTGGAGAGTGGGCACTCCATGGGTAGGGGTGAGAAATGACAGTCTCCTCACCTGGGCTGCACCTCCTCCCAACTGAGTTGCCCGGCACGGCCACTGACATGTAACTTCCTCGCTCAAGTGAAAACAGCTCTGCGGCCACACCAGCCCCAGGCCAAGTGCCCACCAGCCATGGCAGCCGGTGCCGCTAGGGACACTCTCGCTGCTGCGGAAAAGCCTGATGGGCAGAGGGCTCTCTCCCTTCAACTTCGGAACACACTCTCTTCTAGGGAGACTAATGAAATACGTTGTATAGCTTATCTTGTAAAAAATTAAAAAAAGCAATCACTTCTATGTCACATGGTACTAGTGAGACGTAGCTTCTGTTTTTTATATAAGAGGGGAAAACAAACATCCCATTGTTTTTAAACCGATCACCTATCTATGACTTTAGCTTCTGCTAGTGGCAGACCAGGATTTTCTTAGAACTCCAAAGAACTAGACCAAATATAAAAGCCCAACATATGCTTGAAGGCCCTGACAGTTAACTGGGCGGACCAAGGAGAGGCTAGCCCGGGGCTGACTGCCAATGTACACTTCAGACACGGAAGCTCAGGGCCCGAGCAGAGCCCGACAGGCTGCAGCTGGGCCAGCAACTATGAAGCCCAACCTGTCCTCCTTCTGTAAAGGAGACCCCTGAAACGTCCACCCTCACTTGCTCACTGTCGGGGGTGCTCTGGCAGGCTGGTGGTGCCACAGAGGCCGTGTGGTCCACAAAGCTGCAAGGGTGCCTCTCTGTCCTTTGCAATGCTGATCAACTGCTGGAGGCAGGGGCCCAGGCCCACTGGCGTGTGTGGGCACCACCGGTAAAGCCGCTGTGCCTGACACCAAGCTCTTCAAGGTCTGCGTCCTAGACATCGGGTACTGACACTGCTGCCGTGTCTGCAGACCCCATAGCCTAGTTTCGAGTCATCTGAATGGTCCAGGAGACGGTAACCCCTAAGACAGGACCTAACTTATCCTAGACTGCTAGTGCTCTCGGACCTAGAAGAAAAATACTAAACATTCTTTGGAGAAAATCGATGCCATTCTTTGACTCAAAATATTTGCACAAGTAATTTTTCAAATACTATGTCTGATGCACAATCGAAGGTAACCAGTTGTAAAGGGAGACAGACAGTGAGATGAAAACCAGTAAAACAACAGGGAGCAGAACCCCCGATGACGGCAGAGACTGGCCACCAGACAGACTTGAAACGACCATGCTGAGACACACGAGGACACGCTGTGTTAGGAGCTGGGAGGTGAGGCCAGAATAGAAGCCCAGCACCCGCGGGGAGGAACGAGAGGGAGAAACTCATGAATGAAGGTGAGACAGAGGACCCAATAGAAAGACCCACCCCATCTGGAGCAAGATCCCACAGAACCAGTAGTGAAGGGACAATGGCAGACAGGACATTTTAAAAATCAGCTAAAGATACTAACCTGCTGAATTAAAGCTGCCTACCACCACTAGGAAAGCAAGAAAAAGGCCATACCTAGACATACCATTGCTAAAACCAAGGGAAGAGAAAATCTCCCAAGTGGCCAGAAAAAAACAAATAACTGCAAAAAAACGGAGCAGCTGTTATATTCGAAGCTTATTCCTCAACAGAAATTAATATTTAGAAGGCAAAAACCAGTGTTTTCAATGTTGAGAGGAAAAAGTAGCTGCAGTTCTAGGACCCTACCCACCGCGAAAACAAGCTTCAGGAGAGAGGGGCAGTGAAGCCCAGCCAGGCGCCAAGAGAAGAGCCGGCCCAGGGGACCTGCGCTGCAGAGCGCGCCAGCACCAAGGGCCGGCGGGGCGGCTCAGGGAGAAACGGGAGGCCATGAAAACAGTGACCACGCGAGGAGGGGAAAGTGAACACTGACGGCATGGACCAGGATGATTATGGGTTGCAGGCGAAATCACAGGTGACCACAGCAATAGCAGAGACTCAGCCAGGCAGTAGCTAAAGCTCTCTGAAGTCCTGAGTCACCTGGGGAAGACCAAAGGCCCAGTGAGCGTGTTTGGGTAGGTCACAGACCTGTGCTATGATCCTTAGGTGGACTACTAGAACAACAGTAAAAGAGAATAAGACATCTAACTAACACAAGAGAAAATGGAATAATAAAAAGTAGTCAGAAGAAAAAAGGCAATATAAAAACCAAAAAAAGAATATATAGCAGGTAGGACAAATAAAAAGTACATAATACAATAGCATATTTTAAATTCAAATATATTGGTAATTCCATTAAATGTAAACAGATTAAGTGCTCCTGTTAAATTTGGAAGATTGTCACCATGTATTTTAAGAAGAAACCCAACTAAGTGGCATTTACAAAAGATCCATGTACAACATATGGCTTCAGAAAGTTTGAATGTGAAACTACAGGGGAAAAAGATGCACCAGGCCAAAACTGGTGTAGTTAAAGGGGGCACAAAGTGGACTTAATATTACCTGTACTAAAAAGAGAAATTTCAGAAGGACAAAAGTCCAAATTACAAAGAAAAACCATTTCCAAATTTGCATATACATAAGAAATGGCTTCAAAAGTTTGGTTTTTTTTTTTTTTTTTTGGGAGAGATTTTTGCTATAGGGTGTGTGTGCTTGCCGGAAAGACAGAGACAGAGAGAGAGAAAGCGAGAAATCACCCCCCGGGGGGATGGCTACGCCACAATCCCTTCTCCTCCATTCTCCTCTCAGGATCTTGGGCATGCACGCACACACGCCCAGCGTGAGTTTAAGCCACTGGGTCGGGGACCAGAACCGCGGTCAACTACATGGGAGTCCAGCAACATAGCCATTATGCTAACTGTTTGCCCCGACTTCAAAAGATTCTAAGTACTGACAGAAATACTCAAAGAAATAGACACAGCTATAACCAATACCGAAAGAACAAGTGTGTACACATAACAGTAAAGATGTAAATCTCAACAACTGAACGCAAGTGATCTCACAGACGTACACGACTTAGTATCTATCAACTACAAGAACACTTACATATAGCAAGAAAACAGATTTCTAAGGGCGGAAATAACTTATCTGACCATTAAGGTAACTTTAAGTATTCTGATAGTGCAATTTACAAAGAGAACATTTTAAACCTTTTATATTCAGAAATTAAGGGAAAGAATTTTTTTTAAAGAATTATTTTAATTTTTTTTTTTGAAGTTGACCAGAGAGAGACAGAGACAGAGAGAGAGAGAGAGAGAGAGAGAGAAGGAAAGTGAGAAAGAAAAGCTGCCAGATTCAGGACTCAAACTGTGGTCAGCCATGTGGGAGTCCAGCTGCCTTAACCACCATGCCACCTGCTGGCCCCAAGAGAAAGACTTTTAATAATCCATGGTAAAAGAAGAACTCATGATGGAAATTAGAAAATGGTTTGAGCCAAAAGCTTTGTCTGTTGTGTAAGCTCTGTCTACCTGGAAGTTCTTGAATAAATGTGTCAGAAAAGAAGGAAGGTTAAAGGATCTATTTCAGGAAACCATATTAAACAACAACAACAACAACAAAGTAAACCTCAGAAAAGAGAAAAATACAGAGAAGAGTAAATAAATACTAGAAAAAAGGCAATCAAAGTCAACCTGTAGTTCCTTGAAAAGATGAATAAGTTTTAAATCCTGGGAAAACTGATGAAGAAAAAGAAGAGAAGTAACAAACACTCTGAGGCAGAGATGTGAAAGGGACAACACTACGGGCCTTACAGACACGAAAAGGCTAAGTGGCTGCGATGAACAACTTTACGTCGGTAATCTGAAATTGCAAAGCGATCCAATGTCTACAAAAATCCAACTATTTAATACTGTCAATGAATAAATCAAAATGTGAATAGTAGTAAAGATATTGGGGCCATAATCAAAACCTTTCTGGAAAGAAAATGCTAGGCCCAGATTTCACTGTCAAACAGGAACACACACATTCTTCCACAGAATTCAAAAAGAAAAAGTCTATTCCTCCACTTGTCTTCTAGCATGACCCTGATACCAAAATACAATACGTACACTGAAAGGAATTAACTGAAGTCCAATTTTTTCCATCAAGATAAGCCAAAGGAAGGCCTATCACGGGATGAGCTCCCGCATCAATACAGGTGCAAAAATCTTAACATCCTACACACGGAGCCAAGCAATATGCACAATATGATAAATACATAAAAAATGGGGCCACACATTGGTACAGTGGTAATCAACCGAGCCCACATCAAAAGGTGCGTGGGTGACACTCCGGGACCCCCTGACAAGCCAGGCGTGCCTGCGCCCGTGCCTGTGGTCCAGGCTGACGGAGGCTGCGGTGGACCATGGTATGAGAACCCAACTGCGGGTGCTCCTCATCTCTCTCTCTCAAAAAATAAAGTCAGAAATTTGGCTCCACTGGGGCTATATTATTAAAATATGAAAGATAACATGATGAATCTTTTAGAAGACAATAAAGATGATTCTCTTTCTTTCTTTTTTTTTTTTGGAGGGTTTTTTTTTTTTGGCTATAGGGCGCGTCGGCTCTTGAGAGATTTTGGCTATAGGGCGCGTGCGCTCACCAGACAGAGAGATAGAGAGACAGAAAGCGAGAAATCACCCCCCAGCGGGGATGGTCATGCTGCAATCCCTTCTCCTCCATTCTCCTCTCGGGATCTTGGGCACGCATGTGCACGCACCCGGTGTGAATTTTAAGCCACCGGGTCCGGGACGCAAACCGCGGTCGACTACATGGAAGTCCAGTGACATAGCCATTACGCTAACTGCTGGTCCCCTCTTTCTTTTTTTTTTTAAAGAGAGATTTTTGCTACAGGGTGTGTGTGCGCTCGCCAGAGAGATAGAAAGCGAGAAATCAGACGCCCAGGGAAGATGGCCAT